AGACTAGAAAAAAAGAACTTTTTTCGACCTTGACATCACTGCAAATCATCTACCAAAAACTACAGAAGACGCACATGACTGTTCTAACACTAAATCAATCTGCACTGTGACAGCGATAAAAACCTCAGAAATAGCAAGATCGCTGTTTTTCTCTCAAAATTCTCAGAGTGGTGGGAAGCCGATGAGCATGAAAAGAGCCATGTTCAAGAAAATAATAAGAAAAAGAAAGTTGCGATGAAGGAATTTATCTCAAGAACAAAAAAAAAACTCACCACGTACAACAGCAACAGCACATCCTCTTCTGCCAGTGCGCAATTTCGACAGCATCCGCCATGTATTCGTTTTCGGATCATAGGCTTCCACGCTATCCATGCAGTTCCATCTGATGGTAACAAAGACCAGTAATGAATCAGAATTCGCTTGTTTAGTCAAGGAAACGATACAAACCTGTCGCATCCTCCACAGGCTACAATGAGACCGCGCCAAGCGACAACTCCTGCTTGATATCGAGCTAACTCCATGGGTGCTATTGGTTCCCAAACCTAACATATAAATATTGATAGACACGATGTCGGATAAAATGAGGATCTTGTTTACAGCCCTTATCAATAACAAAAATAAATACCATATTTGGTAAACTAAGAAGCTTATTTACACACATATGAATGTCAATATAAGAACTTTCCCTGCCGTGAAACATCATATCGCTCACATTCCTTTAGCACTTCTTGGTCGCACATACCTCCCACACAAAAGATGAAATTATCCAAGGTTGCACAACCTGAAGCATATATGAGCGATTCAAAAACACATCTTAAGTTGAACCTTATGAGTAGCTTATAAGTTTCCATGACATGGGACTAGATTTTTTTTATTTAGTTAATGATTTTTGCAGCTTCTTGGGAACTACTGACGAGGGGCAGAAGAAGTTGCACTACCTGTATAGTTCTTAGCTCCGAAACCGCAGAGTGTATAAAAAGCATTAAAACTTTTGTGTCCCTCACCTTTTCTCTCGAACGATTTTATTACCGAAAAATTCAAAATGTTTTGTTAGAGTACAAAAGATACATAGGAAGCCAAGAAAGGATCAAAACAGCTAACAATAAGCAACAATCGAAGAAACCCACCATTATGGCTTCTCGGCTTACTAAGCGGTGGAATCGGCGACCATTGGTTGGTCTTCGGATTAAAAACTTCAGCAGTCTTCAGATCGTTGTTGCCATTACTTCCGGCAATAGCATAGACCTATTCAACAGCATGAAATAACAGAAAACCTATTTATCCTTAGAACTAACCAATCCATTCAGAACAGCGCTGTCAAATCGTCCTCGTTCTTCTATCATAGAATGCAACTGCTTCCATTCCCCAATCATCACATCATATTCTTCCACAGATTTCAAACATTCACCACGGTCATAGCCACCTAAGCATTCCTCTTCCAATGCATCCACATCAATGCTTTATTAGTGCACTTACCGCAAACAATAATTTTCCCGTTAACAAATGATGCCCCAATTGAACAACGTGCCCCATTCATAGTGGCTAATGGCCGTCGTTGACTTCCTGTGCATGTGATTAATCGCGACAATAACGCTGTTTTTTGTGGATCGACGCTGCCTCTAAAAATCGATCATGGCGCATCTGGCGCTAGTCAGCTGTTCACGTCAACAAAGAACGTTCGAAAAAACACTTGCCCGTTATTTTTGGTTTTTGTGATATCTTCATCATCTGTCAGCTGTATGCTCAGAACCACAAGTCGACGGTAAAGAACACAAAGGGCGACCCAATAGTCAGCTGCAAGCAAAACACTCAGAAAAAAATCAAAATCATCATTTAATCGAGAGCAAGCTCCATGAGTACTTACAAGAAGTCTGGTGTATGGCAATGAGCCTCGTTTCTATGGTATCTTGTGGATCGCTATCTGTGGAATCCAGGGACTTCAAACTTTCTGTAGATGAGTACCGTACATTTGGCACACGACTAGCATTCAGTCGCACTGGGAC